AAGAGAACTTTTAAAATATATATATAATATATATAATTCAGATATATTAAGGCAGTTTCCTAGCAAGAATTGAGGTTATTCATCTTTCTCTGCATCGCTAGAAGATTACGGGGAAACGTTCCTCTGCTAACTTCCCGAAATTGATCAGATGATAGAAGAGCCCAGGGTAGTGTTAGTGATGGACAACTTCTAACTGCAAACCTGTTTAAATTCATTGCTTCATTTCCAAGGAAAACTTTCCAAGGAACACTTTAAGAATTCAGGTAAGACTTTCCAAAAGCAGGGGCAGCGAATTCAAAATGAAGCAAGTTTACTTCTCAGTTCATGTACTGATTCGTCCTATTCTTTATGGCTGTTTTTTTTTTTAAAGTACCAAGCTCATCTCTCCATTTTACGTTTTAAATAGCCTTGTAAAAAAAGGGCAGTTTACAAGAGCTAATACTGGCTCAGCTCATTGTTTAGTCACTCCTTTGGAAATCATATATTCCAGGTCGAAATCCCTAACACTGATCTTGTCAAGCAAATTGTCTCTTACTATGCCACACTATAGTTTGTTTGAATAAACCATACACTGTGACTTTCAAATGATATGATAATGACATTGTGGCTTAATGCAATGTTTGAAGCAGAATTCTATCTAGTACTTAATTTTGGCTCTGCCTCTTGTATATGATGACCATTCATTGTGTGAGTTTGTGTGTGTGTGTGTGTGTGTTGCACACATATATTTTATGTTTCTTATTTAAGGGAGATTGCTTTTGGTCTTTAGATGATGTGACTGGAAAAAGATGTGTGCTATTAGATGTTACATTAATCCCCTTTCCATTTGCAGGGTACTTGCTCAAGTTACTGACAGCAGAAACTCAGTGTGAAAATATTTATCAAGATTTCTCTGGCTGTATCTTAAAATTAGGAGAAAACATGGCTAGATATGAAGAAGAAGCTGAAGAAGACGAAGTGAACCAGAGTCTGCTGCAAGGATTGCAGGTTGTTTGTGGGTGAGCAGTAAACCTCTGAAATGTACTGTAGGAATATCCTATCATGATGTGTATCTTGAATACAGTTGTCTCTTTAGTCCATTTAGAATAATGAATAACAAAGTTGGAAAGGACCTTGGAAGTCTTCTAATCCAACCCCCTGCTCAAGCAGGAAACCCTATACAATTTCAGACAATGGCTACCCCATCTCTTCTTAAAAACTTCCAGTGTTGGAGGACCCACAATGTCTGGAGGCACATTGTTCCACTGATTAATTGTTCTGTCAGGAAATTTCTCCTTAATTCTAGATTGGTTCTGTCATTGATTAGCTTCCATCCATTGCTTCTTGTCCTGCCTACCTTTTAAATCAGAATGACTGATATCCCCTTCCTTTTTCTCCTCTGTGAATGTTTCCATTGAATATTCTCCAAATACTAGTAGAAAAAGTGAAGGTTTCCACTCTCATAGTACTGTTGCTGGTCTCATGTCTATCAGTTGGCTAGCAAATTGTGTTACCCACAGAAAGTGGTTCCATCTTTCTGCTTAGCCATAGGAACCACAATAATGGAAGGGAACTTTCTTTTGAAACTGGCTTGGATCTACTATGTTTTATCATAGGAAGTGCTATCATAAGCACTTCATCAAATACAACCATCAATTGAAAGCAAAAGACTAGTTGAAGTTAGTACCAATACAAGAGAACGAATCCTTCATTGTTGAGAAGGGCTTGCTGTCCATTACTGACATGTTACAAAACTAGATTCTAATCACAATTAGAAATGTCATTTTGTAGATAGCAAAGGCAAAGCCAGTTCTGCTGCCTCCTATGAAAAATACATTTGTTTTCAAGGAAAGAATTGGGGTACCATACTAGAATTTTTAAAAACCTGCTTCCATGAACACAATTTGAGACTGAGCAGTTTTGGTTGGCTACCAACTCATGTGGTAGCTTTCAGCCTATCAGTGCCCTTCAATCCTGGATATAACATGATTAGATTTTCCGGTATCCATTTCTTTGATTTAAGACAACTATGAGGAGAGAATGGTATAGAGTTAGGGCTATAGTCCTAGGATGGAATTCATCCTTTAGCTTGCATAATTTCTCCACTCACTTTAATACCATAACCTTCAAAGCTTCAATTAATATAGCTTTATCATTTGTTTTGTGATGCTCCTTGTATTTCCTGGGTCTGCAATCCTCTTTGACTCTAAACTATGCACTTTCTAACTACCAATATTAACCATAGTGGTAGTCTTTTGTTATGCCTACTGTTCTTTGCCAGGCTTGGTTTGTCACCTTGGGCAACTTCACAGCCAGAGGAATGACACAGCTGTTTGTTTATCTTTAATCTAATCAAGTGCAAGAAGAAGGCAGTAAAATAGCAAAAGCATCAAGATGTTTGAAATTTAGCTCGCAGCAAGTCTGAGTAGAGAACTGATTGTAAGCAGACAAGGGAATGGGAAGGAAGAAAGGAATTGTAGAGATAGATGCAGATCATTGAAAGTTCCAAGGATTACTTCTCCCTTACTCTACCCACCCCTACTACATTGCTGCAGGATTTGGAGGAAACAACCATAGAAAATCAAAACAGAGTTTACCTTGTTTTACACCAATCTCTCTCATTATTGTCTCAGAAGATTTCTTCTACCACATTTCTTCTATTTAATGAGTTCTTGACAGTTGGCAGTCAATTAGAGGCTCCTTAGGCTAATTACAGAGACTTTTTAAGGGAAAAGCAATTGCCCTGGGCACCACCACATGGTGGAGGCTCCCTCCAAAGGATAATTTAATATCTGAAATCATTCAATGGTTTAATATTTTTCATGCAAGTTGGCAAAAGCTATCTTGTCAATTTTATAATGGTTTATTAGTAAGCTATTTCAATGTATAAAATAAAAATAAATGGGAGAAAACTATTACATTGATGTAGAATATAGTAAGAATGTATAGTGATGGGTTGTTTAGATAAACATTTCTCTTAAAGTCTAAAAATATCCATATTCGTGGTTTAAAGTGGTACCAACACTATTTTTTGCTCTCAGTGTGCAAGTTTTAATACAATACTTCTGGAAAATACCAGTTTCACTAAGGCTGCTTTAGCACACTATAAAACCACAATATATGAAAGCACAATATAAAATTGTAAATATATCATCAGTTTGGTGTAGTGGTTAAGGCACCAGGCTAGAAACCAGGAGACCATGAGTTCTAATCTTGGTAAATAAACAAGGGAAGAAAAAATAGGCTTTGAAGGTCTGCATCCACATAGATCAGAGTTTTTTAAACTTGGCAACATTAAGATGTATGGATTGGGAGTTTAAGTCTACCTGCTCAAAGTTAAAAAACACCTAGATGAAGAATTACCTCTGAAACCCTTCATTGGTTGTAATCATGTCTGACTACAACTGTTAAAAATAAGTGGAAATATGTCTTGCAGTTTTCAGGCAGGAAGCTTACAAAAAGTGTTGCTGAGGCCCTAAAATAGGCTTTAGGTGAACAGGTATGGAAAAACATTCAACCTAAAAAAATTTAAAACCCTCAGAAAATAGCAATTTCATCAACCTGTGGGATTCTCTTTATTTAGTTGCCTGTTTCGACTTTCCTGTAATGCCCCCACCCATCAGAAAATTTCCCATTCTTGACTAGATAAACCTTTCCGGAGTGTATGGTCTTGTATGGCAGGCACTAATATTTCACTTTTCAGCTGCATCGTGTTAAATACTCCATTAGGATTATTGTAGAGATCCTGTTGTATACTTGGAACAGTATCCTCCTGTGTACTGGAAAAGATTCTGTATAGAGGAATTATATATTAATTATAGTCATTATGTGAGAATAGGTTTCTTTGCTTCCCAGAGTTGGCTTTCCACAATGGATAGAATTAAAACAGATCATTTAATTAAAAAAAAAAAGAACTAAAGTAGATCACAACTGCATGGACCAATTAACCAGATATTATGATGGATGGTCAATGGGCAGATGGATAGACAGGTTATGTTCTTCATAGATGGCCCATGTCCATCTGTGACTTTTGTGGCAAAGAACTGCGGAGTCCTTAGTGCTCTCTGCACTTCATGGGATCTCAGAGAGCACCAAGGACCCCACAGTTCAATCCCAAGCTACAAATATAATCTTCTGTTGGTGGCAAATAATTTATTGTTTATTCTTTCTTTTGCAGATATTGGAATGAATTTCATAATTGTGCGATGGCTACTCTTTGGGTGTGCCAGAAGGAGATGGTGACTGTCTGGGAAAAGTTGAAAAAAGAATCTAGAAAAATCAAATTTGAAGGCAATCTTTTTGACCTCTGCATCTCCAGTAACTACCAGAACTTACACTCATTCCAGATCCCAACCCTTTGTTTAGTAGGCATCACTCTGATGCTCATTTGGCTCAATTTATGAAGGCAACAGCTCTGTGATCTTGTACAAATGAACATATGCTTCTTTTCCTTAATATTTAGAAAATATTTTGTGGTGGGTTTTTTTTTCTTTTTTTAGTGAATTTTTGATTGTGATAACAGAATTTCCTAATATTTAATTTTTCCAGTTAAATCAATCGTAAATATGGCAAGTGTTCCAATTGAATTTTGACTATCAAAAGTCCTTAAGGTTCTCAAAATTAAATTACTAAAATACAGCTTGCATAGGAAACTGGCACAAGTGGAATGGTGTCACTAGATTTTGTATCTTGGCCTGCTAATCAGGGTTTGCTTTGGTAAGCCTTTCATTCCAACTGTTGTTCTGATTTCTATATTTAAAGAACTTTTTAGCAACTTTCTTTTTGTATATAAGCGTAACTACAGTAATTAATATATTTGTAGTTTTATGAAAGAAAATGTTGGGGAACTCAAGAGGGTAGCATGAAGTTTTAAAATAACTGGATTCTCTCAGTAGAACATGCTGGTTTCATTACCTACCTGAAATGAGCTCCCCCAAATGTCCAGAGCAAGATTACAGACTGATGATTGACTTGTTATAGAGGTATTTGAAAGAATGATTACTTATGCAAGAGATTTACATTATGTTGGTATATGACTTCAGAACTAAAGAAAGACCAAAACCCTGAGGTAGCTTAAGGCAGAACATCTGAAACCCATGCAAGGAATAATGCTGTGATACCCCTTTTTCTCCATTCCTGACTAGTTTTTCCTCCTCCCTGATTTTTCAATGAAACTTGCAAAATGCAGTCATGTATAGTAAATATTTCTGAGATGGAAAGAAATATTCAGTTAGAAGTAAAAATCCTTGCAATTTTCTAAGGAAAACTTCTGTATTGCAGGATGGGTGGATGTTCAGGGGATCACTGGAATGAAGTATGGCTATTGCTGTAAAATAGTAGTGGAGAAATGGAACTTCCTGTTCATTGCTTCTCTGACTATTCCTTGTAACTGCCTATTCTGGTTGAGGCTCATGGGAACTTCAATTCAACTTTTGAAGTTCTCTACATTCCTTACCCCCTTCTAAAATCCATATGAATTCTTGTATAACTCTACTCTGTACATGAAGTAGGATATGCCATGTGTTGCAGCTATTTTCAACATATTCTCATAATCTCTCTCACTTTCCAATTCCACTTCTCTAATTTGTACTGAATATACAAAGCAACCTTAGATTGTCACAATTAGTGTTAAGTTGCTTTGTTTAGTATTGGTATTTAGACTGATTTCTTCCTATCTGTTGGTCACTGTGCTGTTCTCCAGATTTTTTGATGACATGGTTGATTAGAACCTCTACCAATCCTTCTTCTGTTGCTTGCTATATTTCCGTAGCTATTTCAATTCTTGTAGCCTTCTGACTTGATAGTTACTGGCGTGTTGATCTAACTTGATTTTCTAGTATTTGACATTCATGTAAATAGGTAAAATCTTCTAAGGTATCTTGGATATTAACATTCATACTGTTCAGAATTTTAATATACTTCTTCCATTTTTGTTTGATCTTCTTGGAATCATTTCAGGTAGTCTTCGATTTATGACCAATTGTTTAATGACTGTTCAAGGTTACTGTGGCTTCAGAAAGGGTGTCCGTCTATCTTAAAACGTTGCAAATCCCATGGTCACATGACCATGTTTTGGGTGCTTGGCAGCCAGCTTGCATTTGTAACCAGCTGTAGCATCCCAGTCATGTGACTGCAATTAGGAACATTTTTTTACTTGTTTCTGGCATTTTTTTTTGCCAGTTTCCAGCAAAAAAAAACAAAACCCCAAACCCACTCATTCAGGAGAATGGGTTTGCTTAATAACTGCATGATTCAGACTTATGAACACATGATCCATTTAATGACCACAGTAAAAACCATTAAAAAATTGGGTCCTGTCATGTCGATGCCTCAATTTATAACCCCAATTTACAACCACACTCCAGTTCCAATTATAGTTGTAACTTGAGGACAACTTTTGCTATCTGTACATTAGTGTCCTTTACTATACTAATTTAAGGATGGAATTTCCTTCTGAGTTCAAGAACTTTCCACATCTTTAATAGCCTCTTTGACTTCATTCTATTGTTTCTCTGGTTGCCTGTCAATAAGTCCTTTTAAGTGTTTCGTTACTCAGACACATGACACCAGAATTGTGAAGAAATTCTTGATATTCTTCTTGAAAATGATGGATATATGCTCAAGATCACATGGAAATTGACTTACATCTTGTACATGAGCAGTCTGTGATCTTCAATCAGTCTCTGACTTCATTCTTTCTTGATATAACTAAGACTTCTACCTCCTTGCATTAATAATACAACTGATTTGATTTCTGCTTAGTCCATCAGGCGATGTCCATACACATAGGCATTATTTTGGTGATCTGAAGACTTGTGTCAGCAATCAAGAAATAATTTGATTAGCAGAAACTAATTATCATCATTATTAGCAGAAAGTCACTATTTTCCTTAATTTTCTAAGTTTCCTTGGCCTTATGATTAAATTCAGTCTCATTATTTCCAACTCTGGCATTCCAATCTCCAATCACAAGCACCATATTATGCTTATGACTGCTGTCAATTTATGGAAAAGTAGGCAGGGTCAAATAAGTTCCAAACTACTTTTTCGCTTTGCCTTAAACATAGCCCTTAATTTCAAACACAGGCTTTGATCATAAATAAATGTGCACCCTAATCCCTGTTAACATCAGCTAAATATATCTCAAATAATGGGGACAGAAAAACTTTCTACTTAGATTGCCACTGTGTGCCTAATTAGATTCCAGTCTTTAGTCAATGTTAAGTCTACAGAGATTCATTGAAACGGCTTCAAATCTCCTTTGCTGCATTAGGTATGTTATTATGATACTCCCAAAGGAAAACAAATGCCCTGAGTGCACATGTGAACATACATATAAGTACTGCAGAGAAGATTGCATAATACACAGCTTACAACAGGAATTGCAGTGGCTTTCACTACTGTCTCAAAAGGAAGCAGTGCCATCTTCTGGAAGAAGTGATGTTAATGCAACTATAATTCAACAATGCATACTATACAGTACAATATGTTAACATTGGATGAAGACAGTGTGACTCACTTATATTTTCCAACTACAACAATCGTGTAAGGAAAGATATTCCCTCTGCTCAAATCTATACTTAAGTCTGTGGAACAGAACATGCTATTTTGGCAGAACCTTTGGGTTTCTTTATACGCTATCAATGGGTCCCATAAGAGCGCTTTGAGAGATGGTTTATAAAGTTCATTTTCCAAAATTATTCACCTTAATCATTACAAACATTAGCTTCCCAACTGTAACTGATACAAATTATTAGCATTCCAAAATATTTACGTACAAAGGGAAAACTCTGGGATATATCCAAAAAAATTATTATTTTTTTAAAATAATAAAAACTACAGCTACCTTTTGGTGCATTATAAATGAACCTTCCCTTCACACACTTTCTTTTCACAGGAAGTCAATATTTGCTCTGGAGGACAGAGTTTATTCAAGTTCCATTCTAAGAAGACAATTAAAATTATATGCAAAATAAGCTTATCTTGACAGTAGTAGTTACAAAAAGAATTAACCATCTTGTTTTTAGTGCCCTGCACAACACCTTGCAAGTTTCCTTGATTATGAACAGTGAATCTTCAAGATAAAACATTCATTGTAGTAAAAAAAAAAGGCTCATTTGAACCATCTCCAGTCTTGGGAGTATGTCTCTATGCCACACATTGTAAACAAGAGTGGCTTAAATCCTTGTTCACCTTTTTGAAGCCAATAGTTTAAAAGTGTCTAAGCCACGGTTTCCTGAATTGTATTCCAGACTGATAACTTTTTCATTTCTACTGCCATATTAGTAATATAAACTAGCCTGATCAATACACTGTAAAGCTTCAATGGAAAGTTGAAGTCTTTATTAAATAAAATAGTAATTTCTTCAGTCAAATAAATACAGTCACTTTTTGCTGTTAATACGCTTTCTGGAATCTGAGCAGCCAAGGGAATAATAGTACTGTGCCTTTCTGCATTGTTTGATCTCTTTGATCTTTTAATTCAAAAAGTGGAAGTAAAACAAGTATCAGATATATGAGGAATAAAAGGGAACAAAGTGTCTATTGTGCAATTGTTGGAGTTCACTAGTCAAGTGATGTTCACACTATAGAGAAGGGAAACTGTAATCATCACAACTTACTGCTTGCTTCTCAAATTCTCAAAATTAGTCCACTTCCCATGTCTTTTATGCATTTTATCCATCACTCGAGTCTGATCTATGTCACTTTGGCAAATTGGGCATGTCTGCATAGTAATAAAAATGAGTTATGTAAAAACTATATTCATCTTGGCCTATCAAAGTATGTCAGTCTCCCAGCTAATATATTTAAGGCCCTCTGGATTTCTTCAGTTGCATTTCCACATTTCACAAACTAGCACCAAGATGCTGATACTGATGGAGGAACACAGTGCCTCTGATGGCCTATACATTGGATTTGGGGGCTGAATTTAATGGGATTTCTTTCAGTTCTGTCCTCATACAGAGGTATTCCCCAATCACAGCCATGAGTGCTGTGCACACAGTATGTACAAGCCACCAGGTCAAAGCTGTCGGAAAGTATCCATTGTAAATCCAGCAGCTCAACAGGTGAAAAAAATGAACGGTGGCTGTGAAATCCAAGCATTGCTTTCCTCGTCGAATGAAATACAATAAACCAATGGCACTGCAGAAGAAAAGAAAAGAATTATGTCAAACCTTAAGATACACCATCTTCAACATTCTATTTTCCATATAAGCTATGTAAGACATATCTCATGGAAGCACTTTTCATTTAAATCTTTATCCAAGCTATGTGAGAAAGCAAAGAAATTAAAGGAAACTTTAGACTCCAAAGATAAACATTTTATATTATTTTTATATTTCAGCAATTTTTGGCCCTTTAAAAAATTGGTCGCTGAAAATAAAGTGAAATTTTCATATATAAAAAATTCCTAACTGTTCTATTTTATACGTATGCCTTTTTTTAAACCAGTCTCCAAAGTCTAGAAGGGTAATTATATACTGGTAGTCCTTGACTTACAACCACAACTAAGCCGAACATTTCCATTGCTAAGCAAGGGCGTTGTTAAGTGAGTTTCCCCCCCATTTTATGACCTTTTTTGCCACAGTTATTAAGCAAATCATTGCAGTTGTTAATTGAATCATGCTGTCATTAAGCAAAATCTGGCTTCACCCCCTTGACTTTGTTTATGACAAGTCAGTTGGGAAAGTTACAAATAGTGATCATATGACAATGGAACAATGCAACTGTCATAAATACATGCCAGTTGCCAAGTGCCCAAATTCTGATCAGCTGACCACGGGGTTGCTGCAGTGGTCATGTGAAAAATGGTCCCAAGTCACTTTTTTTCATTGGCATTGTAATTTCAAACATCACTAAATGAGATGGTTGTAAGTCAAGGAAAATTTGGATAATTAAAACTATGCGTTTTTCCTTTCTAAAATTGTAACTTTTAAGCACATTTTTCTTGGATATTCTCCCTCTTGAAATTCTTTCCTTTTCTTCATTGCATGTTAAACAACTCTAGTTTCATTTTTTTTGCATTAGTTATCACCATTATTTGACTTATAATTTATCAGCCTCAGCTTCATCTTTCTGAATGGTTCTACTTCAACACTTTTTCTCTAGACTCCTCTTCATGATCTCTCCATAGGATTTGAGCAGTTCAACCAACCTGATTTCATTACGTATTATCAACTCAGTGACCACTATTAGAAATTACATAGGTAGATTTTCTCCTAGACACTGGGTTCCCAGCCAGGTCTTTCAGCCATTGCTTCAGTAGCTCAATCTGTCCAGCTGGCAGTCAGATATTTTGGGCTACTTAGCTAATCATATTAAATGCCTAGTCCCAACCTTCTTTAGTTTGGCCTTCAATTTTACAGCACTGATAATCTGAATGCTTCTGTTTTTATCAAGAGGCAGCTCACCACTCTAAAGGTGTTTGGTTTGAGGATGTCAGAAGAATAACAACCTGACTTACCAGGTGAGTGCATTCAGGATAAATGCCATTGTGGAAAGTCTCCCTGGAGAGGTAGCAAATCCCAAAACCTGTACAGGTACAAAGAAACATAGCCATTGCAATAAACTGTAAATCAGCTAAGATCTATTGGCTTCAATGATGTTACATCAGCTCTGTAGTTCAAGAGGCAACATCTGGATAACTAATCAAACTCATTTTAATACTGATATAATAAAGGCAGTAATTTGAAACAGTGCAAATTAACTTTTGACATACTGTACATTAAATTTAAATGTAAATTATATGAGAGGTAATCCATGAAGTTACACATTAGCTTTCAGTATTCCTCCTAAAAATCTTCTACTGCCTTCTTTGATTTGTCAAAATTTGTTTCTGACATACTGAAAACATAATTACCTACCTCATAACTGAAAATCTGGTCCAGTGAAGGGTTGCTCTGTACCAGACTGTCTACTAGAGCCAACCAAACCCCCAGACTGCTGTAATAAATTGCTTGCATGAGGATGATCTGGGAAACGATAAGAGCAGGATCCCAAATATAACTGCGGAACTGGGGAGCCATTCCTGAAGCAACAGCCCAGAGGCTGCATAGACATATATAAATAATCCACGGATGTCTTAAAACATAAATTCCTTGGGTCACTGTCTAGAGAATGCAGAGTGATTCCATCAGTACCTGAAAGAAAAAATGATTTGTGTCATTCCAACTAAATCCTACAAAAAGAAGGCCTTCTAATGTACCTCTTCTCCAAAATCCAAGAATTGTATTGCATTTTTTCCCAATTACAAAACTACCAGTGTTACTAACAGCTTCCTAAAGTGAGGTCACTGACCCAAGCATGGCACAGGAATCTGTGACAGGTTACAAATAAATGAAATTTCTCAGATCTGGTTAAAGGTGATAAATAAAATGGAAATAGTATGCACTCTGATTCTTTCAGAGGAAGCACTGCAGAATTATATTTGTATATATTATTCAATCCAACTCTAAGATTTGAGATGAAATATATTCAATATGAATAAAACATCATTAGAAAATTCAGAAGAAAAATGGTTTCAAATGGATGCTGTTCTTCAAATAATGGAAAAATTGGCTTTCTTGACCATGAAAAAGATCCAGCAAATACAACATTCTGCTTCTATTACTGACATTCCACTGCAAAAAAACAAAGACTGAGCACATATTAGTCATGGCTCCTTCATGACTAATATCAGTTAATAGTCTTATTCCTCCTCAGAAATTTATATCTATGAAACATACATCCTAAAAACCTCATAATTTAGGATTTAATTTGCAACCCAGTGCAATGTAGGTTTATTTCAATTTCTGCATTGACTGGTAAAGGACTTCATTGCATCCTTCTGCTATTGGGCCTATTTAATTTTGTAAAATAACTGAATATTTATTCAGAAATAAGTTCAGATGCACTTAATGAGACGTGTAGATAAGTGCATTACATTGCAAACATTTTTCTATCTACTCAAAAGTACATCCTTTGTGAAGTGTTTAACTGACTTAGCCATGCTCATTCTCCCAACTATCATAGATTTCCTATGAAGAAGGTCTCACTGTTACAAAGCTAGTTGTCACCTTACAACAGGTCACTTGGTGACCATTCCAAGTTACAACAGACCCGGAAAAGCTATTTATGCCCCCCCCGAGTCATGTGACTACACTTCAGGTGCTTGGCAACTGGCCTGCATTTACGATTGTTTGCAAAACCCTTTGGTCACATGACTGCAATTTGCATTTTTGTTAGAAAACCAATCAATCAGAATAGAGCTGGAGGGGCTCTTGGAGATCTTCTAGTCCAGCCCACTGCTCAAGCAGGATATCCTGTAGTACCATTTCAGATAAGTGACTGTCCAGTCTCTACCAGTGATGAAGCACCTACAACTTCTGAAGGCAAGCTGCTCCACTAGTTAATTAAACCAAATAACATTATATACCTTTTCAGAGATCAGCATTTGTTAGGTCCAAATTTTGAGACTGAACATGCACTTTGAATGCTGCATCAGTTGGTGGTATCTCACATATTATTTTAAGTGAAAAATACATTTAGGTATTTGGATTGTTACAAGTTACAATAACTGAGTTCATAAGGCAAAAAAACATAGACTGCCAATCACAGTGACTGGATTCCTACATTATTTTAAGCCCCAAACAATCACATAACAGTCTAACTAACTGATGTAGAAACCAGTCACCATTATATATGTTAAGGAGAGAATCAAAAGACTGATAAACTTCAATTCTACAGTCATGGCAACCTTTTCACCATCAACATATACTAAGCTTGAAAGATGTTAGGTGAAGGGTTTGCTCCATGAATTGGCTGATGTATAATTGTAAGTCGTGAATGATTTACCCATTGTTTATGCAACAAACCACAAATGACTGGACTCACAAGTCACCCTAAACCATAATTGGCTGGGTTCACACACAACAAATCGCATTGAGGGTTCGTGGGTTTAAAGTAGACCTTTAAAACACACACACACACACACACACACGCCAGTAGTTTCCGGTGTCTTTACAAAAGAAAAAAGAAAAGAAAAATACTCCATTGTTGTAGATCAGTGTTTCTCAACCTTGACAATTTTAAGGCATGTGGACTTCAACTCCCAGAATTCCACAGCCAGCAATGCTGGCTGTGGAATTCTGGGAATTGAAGTCCACATGCCTTAAAATTGTCAAGGTTGAGAAACACTGTTGTAGATCATGAAGGGAGAAAGCATCCCTGCTGGTTTTCTGTCAAGGGAAGGAAACGAAAGAAAGACGCACCATCCTAAAGAGGCGCATCCGACCCCCTTCTCACGATCACTGCTCCCAATCGAGCGGCAAATCCGCAATTCCCCCAAATCCTTCCGATTTACCCTTCGCATTTCCTCGCCGGTCCCCCGCTAACTCGCTCCGTCTCTTCTACCAGACCGAGAAGCCGCGACAATACAGGCTCCTCTCGTCCACCGCCAGGCCCGTCTCCGCAGCTGACTCCTTTCGTCGAACCACCGAGTCACGCGGCCTCCAACCGCCTAGAAGGAACATTGAGACAACCTCGTCCCTCTAAGGAGCCATGGAAACAACCCCGCGCGCCTAGAAAGGTAGCCAGTAAAAGGAAGTGACATTAAACACAGGAAACGCGTGGCCTGTGGCGTCTATGTTGTCCCTGAGCCGTAGAGATAAAGCTTAGAGAATACTTTTTTTTAAAAAAAAAAAAATTAAATCATTGTATATTTTTTAGAAATGCTTTTAGAATGAAGGGAACACACTTTGCTCTAATCCAGCGGTTCCCAACCTTTTCTATGCCCCGCAGCCCTAGAGCGCTTCTGATATATTCTCGCACCCCTTACAAAATTAATACCTGGTTATGCATATACACTATAATTTTGAAACTTCTAAATCCAAGTTTTCGAACCATCTGGAATATCGCCTTGCACCCCCAGGAGGTGTGAGCACCCCCGGTTGTGAACGCCTGCTCTAATTCATTTAATATGGCTGAATATTTACTAACTTTCATAATATGCTGAAACCTTAACTTTAATAATAATAATAATAATAATAATAATAATAATAATAATAATAATAATAATAATAATAATAATAATAATAATAATAATAATAATAATAATAATAATAAAGTTGGAAGGGACCTTGGAGGTCATCGAGTCCAACCCCCTGCCATTTTTCAAAGGGAAAGAGAAAGAGATTCTCATTAAAAAGAAAAGTGGACTGGATTTAATTTCCAGTGAGTTCATCAAAACAGTGCTAAGGGTTAGGGTTAGGGTTACGGTGCTAATAAAACGTTTAAATGTTTTTTTCCAAAAGTACAAGCAGTGTTTCACTCTTCATTTCAAACATGTCTGAGGCGTTGCCTGAATCTTAGCTCCAGAAGCATCACTTCCTAGGGAACTCTGAAGTGGTCGGAATTACCCAGCGCTGAATCAGCCTTACTCGTTTCGTCCGTCCTTCACGTTCGCATCGTGCAATAAATAACTTAATTCTTTGGGCCGTCGTTTTCCAAGCCGAAGATGTAAAGAGGGAAAACTTAAAACCTCTATACTCGATAGGAGAGTTCAATTAATGTAACCTCACTTAAATTTTGTATTAGAATACCTAACCCCGCCCCCATGAGCTGCTGTGAAATTCAAAATGACTAAATAGCTATAGCATACAGTAATGCCAAGTATAGCACTTTAGAAATATGCTAATCTAGAAAATCTAAGCAGGATAGGATTTTTTGGGTCGTTGGATGGGAGAATATCAGGAAATCTTGAGTTGTACCTAAGATGGGATATCCAAAAAAACTTCCCAGAATAAAAGCAGTGCCAAATAACTTAGTTTTTGCAAATAAACAATGCAGATCTGTATGTACCCTCACCAGAAATAACACCATATTCTTACTTATCAGTCTACTTTAAAAAGGAACTGTTTTAATGCAGGAATACATGGGCTTGTATTGCTAATCAAATGACACTGTTCAGAAAATAATCGGGCATTTATTCAGCTACAAGATTCTATACAAATTCTTTGATTCTTCTTTCAGGATTGTCTAGAGTACCACCCCCAAAATTTTACAACAAGTGTTGTGCTGTGCAGAGATAAAAATAACATGTTGACTGGAACACAGAATTACAGTACTTCTAAATATCTATGGCTGCTTTCCCTTGCTTGCTATCCTCCAGCCGCCTGGAGGCAGGAATATATCTGGAAGAAATCCGATTGGAAAAGGCAATCCTACGCTACCCTCATTGTATTTGTGAAAACAAATATGAAAACAACACCCTTTTCTTCTCATTAGTTCTTCATATGTTTGTTTCCTAGTTGTTTTCCCCATTCCAGTTAACCTCATGTCATTTTTCCATTATTAAGAGAAGCAAGGAAATTTTGGAAAACCCATTCCTAGCCAGGCTCTATGATGAAACAAAGGAAATGAAGAAAAGAAGGAAGGAGGAAGAAGTTTCAAAATCAAGAATACTATAAATCTTATTAANATTAAGGTAAAATTATCTGAATCATAAGACAGATGAATCAACCTCCATGAGACAGACCAAAAACAACCATGTGCGCTGACTGATGAAATCTGTTATCAGAAAACAAGCTTGTTTTTGCTGAGCGTCATGAAATGGGTCCAGTTCCTTCCAAAGAATTAACTAAAAATACAATTTCTGAATCTGAAAACCTGGGTGTGTTTTCTTGGAAGCAACCGTGGCATTTATCTATGAAGATACGAGAAACTGGGCTGCCAGATTGGTGGTTTTTCTAATCTTTCTTTGAAAATTCTTAAGAAAAGTAAACAGTTGTTACTGTGGTCTTGTGAAATATGCCCTCCTTTATGAAGGACACTTCTTTGTTTGAAAGTATCCTCTACTTAAAGTGCTGTCTGATTTAAAAATAAAGAGCTACAAGAAAGGAAAGCTTTGAAGTTGTCCTTCAACAGTTAAGACTTTCCTACATGCTCTCAGCTCATGAAAATGGGACATAAAGTGAATTGAATAAGTAAAATAAAGGCCTAAACAAGCAGGTAGTTTATCTGGACACCGGGCCCATTCATATACCTCTTTACCTTGCCTTCAATTACTGTTTATAATGTGTCCTAACATCAAGACTTCCATCTTGGAGCCAGCTGGCTGCTGAGGTGAACTAAAACTAGATCAAGGTTGCTCAGATTGGAAAATGGAAGAAAACCTCTTATATGAACATTCTGAGTCACAAGGCTGATTAGTTTTCAATATATGTGTCAGGGAAGTGTTAACTTCACAAAAGACAATATTCCCATTTCTGCACAAAAACAGAACAAATATGAGGTTGTAGGCCCACATCAGCAGCTGTCTGAGCTTGTAAACTCACATCAGTAGCTCCTGCAGGGAGGGGCTGCACTGGCAATGGCTCTCCCAGTTCAGCTGTACATACATGTTGGGACTTGCATTCACCTGAGACTCTGGAGCTGCTGCCCATAGTCTAATCTGTCAACTTTCTTGGGCCAGCTATCAATGAACTACAGTGTCTGCCCCTACATAGTCTCCACTGACATACCCCTGACAAGTCTCCACTGGTGGGACAGGTCCCACACTATTTACTTCCCCTTCTTTCTGGTATCTGTAGCAGCAAGGGCCTGCAGTCTACCTTTAAGAGATGTTTACAGCCTGGCTACAACCTGTTTAGAGCAATTCTTGCTACCCATGGCAGCAGCAGCAGCAGCAGCAATCACTATCCTTATTGGAGGACAGAGACGCTGCCAGCTTTGTTCTGGAGGCCCAGCCAGAAAAAAATGCCATGGGGCAATAATTTTTAGATCCATATTTTTTTTGAATAGAGGTTGATTACTGCAGTGATGGCTATGCAAACCTTTTGAAAAGGCATGTTTATTAAAGCTTTAATGGAAGTAACCCTTTGAGGCCATTCTATAGTACAGTCAATGGCATTCAGTAGTTCTTGCATGAGCCAAGGCAACTCTTTCATGGACATTTTTAGTAAAGAGACAAAAGCAAAGTAACCCTCTTACACTGGAGATGGCAAGTTAGGAGCACCCCATTTTTTTCTAGTCAAGGCACAAAGTCAAGACTAAACCCATGGAGTAATCATAGATTCTGGGATTAAACCGTGGTCAGTCTTACTGAATGAAGCTCAAATTCTATTGAGAAACAAAAATGATATAAGTAAATAGGGGACATCCATAATGAAGGCTGATTGATATATGCAAAGTCTTGTCTGAGAATGGTTATGTCTGAGTTTAAAGGAAATAATGAAGTCATATATTGCATTTGGTGCTGTGAATTGCTTTTTTATTTTGATTGCAGAACAGCCTTTACTCTTTTATTTTCTCCCCACTCTGTGCTTTATGTTTATGTATTGAAACTTACAAGAAGGAAACTAAAAGAAGTCATTGTTTCCCAGGCATTATTATTTTACAGGATTGTTGTGATCTTAAAATAAGGATTGTGAAACTGATTTCAGTGCCACTCTGAACTCATAAGTGGAGAATATAAATAAGTATCATCCTAAAAAATATTTTGCAAGGAATTCTGGGATCTTTGTGAGCTTGGAAGGGAACAAGGACAAATTTCTTGGTTGGAAA